GGAATTAATTTTTTTTTTTCCCATACTAGTAATGACAGCGATTGCGGTGGGCATTGACACTGGGTGGGAACTGACTAACTACCACTGACATCCCCAGGGACACGAATACAATGATCAGTGCTAATAAAAAGCAATAACACTGTACTAATGACACTGGGCAGAAAGGGGTTAAAATCTGGGATGATCAATGGGTTAACTGTGTGTTGTGTGTGTTCTACTGTGTGCTGTGTTTTACTAGGGAGGCATGCGGTTTTGGATTTATCTGCTGTGCAAAGAGATACAAAACAGCAGGTCCATGCTGACAGGAGAGACACCTGTGTGGTTTACACACAGGCCTCTCCCGTCAGCTTTACCTGATGATCACTAAGTGCTGGCTGGGACCCGGTGATTGACAACCCTAGCCTCCAATAGTGGCGCGGGTAGAGCAGCACACGTGCCCCCTACACGGAAATGCAAATCACGTATATATACACGTGAGTTTGTGCAGCCGTGCCACCCTGTAGCAGTACTTCTGCTATAAGGCGGGGGGAAAGTGGTTAAATCCCTATGTAGGATATTAAAAGTGTGTGTGTATAAGTATGTATATATACATATATATACATATACACATACATACATACACAGTTGTGTTCAAAATAATAACAGTGTGTTGAAAAAAGTGAAAAAAGTTCAAAATGCTTCTAATAGCTTTTATTTCCATACACACAAATGAACTGGGAACACTACACATTCTATTCCAAATCAAAACATGAAGAAAAATATATCAAATTTGTGTTGTTCCTCTAAAAAAAATTGAAGAAAAGTGATTAGACTGTTCAAAAAAATAGCAGTGTTTGTATTCTTCTTTACAAACTCAAACATTCACTATATAAACTGAAAAATGTTTGAAGATTTTGCTTTCCGTTGAATCAATTAATATTTAGTTGTATAAGCACTGTTTCTGAGAACTGCTGTACATCTGTATTGCATGGAGTCAGCCAACTTCTGGCACCTGTGAACAGGTATTCCAGCCCAGGATGATTGGACTACATTCCACAGTTCTTCTCTATTTCTTGGTTTTGCCTCAGAAACTGCATTTTTGATGTCACCCCACACGTTTTCTATTGGATTAAGATCCGGGGAATGGGCTGGCCACTCCATAACGTCCATCTTGTTGGTCTGGAACCAAGATGTTGCACGTTTACTGGTGTGTTTGGGGTCGTTGTCTTGTTGGAACACCCATTTCAAGGGCATTTCCTCTTCAGCATAAGGCAGCATGACCTCTTCAAGTATTCTGACGTATTCAAACTGATCCATGATCCCTGGTATGCGATAAATAGGCCCAACACCGTAGTATGAGAAACATCCCCATATCATGATGCTTGCGCAACCATGCTTCACTGTCTTCACAGTCTACTGTGGCTTGAATTCAGTGTTTGGGGGTCGTCTGACAAACTGTCTCCGGCCACTAGACCCAAAAAGAACAATCTTACTTTCATCAGTCCACAAAATGTTGCGCCATTTCTCTTTAGGCCAGTCTGTGTGCTCTTTGGCAAATTGTAACCTCTTCAGCACAAGTCTTTTTTTCAACAGTGGGACTTTGCGGGGGCTTCTTGCAGATAGCTTGGCTTCACATAGGCGTCTTCTAATTGTAACAGTACTCACAGGTAACTTTACACCTTCTTTGATCTTCCTGGAGCTGATTGTTGGCTGAGTCCTTGCCATTTTGGCTATTCTTCTATCCATTCGAATGGTAGTTTTTCGCTTTCTTCCACGTCTTTCAGGTTTTGGTTGCCATTTTAAAGCATTTGCGATCATTTTAGCTAAGCAGCCTATCATTTTCTGCACTTCTTTATATGTTTTCCCCTCTCCAATCAACTTTTTAATCAAGGTACGCTGTTCTTCTGAACAATGTCTGGAACGACCCATTTGCCTCAGAATTTTAGAGAGAAATGTACTGTAACCAGCATGTACAACATTTGCTGCCTTCCTTCCTTAAATAAGGGCAATAATTGTCACCTGTTTTTCAAAGAATAAATGACCTCACTAATAGAACTCCACACTGCTATTATTTTGAACATGCCCCTTTCAATTAGTGATTCAATTACACAGAATCAGCAGCATGCATGTCATGACTGTTGGGTCTGTTGGATTTCTATTACTCTACTACACCTGCCAGTAAATTATTTGCCATGTAGAAGTATAATTTCTACCAAAAACAGTGATTGATCAGGTTAGTGATGTCGGACTGCTATTGTTTTGAACACAACTGTGTATGTATATATATATATATATATATATATATATATATATATATATATATATATATACACACACACACACACACACAAACATACTGTTTCACAGGAGTACACCCCTCACATTTTTGCAAATATTTTAATTATATCTTTTCATGTGACAACACTGAAGAAATCATACTTTGCTACAATGTAAAGTAGTGAGTGTACATCTTGTATAGCAGTGTAAATTTCCTGTGCCCTCAAATTAACTCAACACCAGCCATTAATGTCTAAACCGCTGGCAACAAAAGTGAGTACACCCCTAAGTGAAAATGTCAAAATTGGGCCCAAAGTGTCAATATTTTGTGTGACCACCATTATTTTCCAGCACTTCCTTAACCCTCTTGGGCATGGAGTTCACCAGAGCTTCACAGGTTGCCACTGGAGTCCTCTACCACGATGACAAGACAGAGCTGGTGGATGTTCGAGACCATTGTGCTCCTCCACCTTCTGTTTGAGGATGCCTCACAGATGCTCAATAGGGTTTAGGGCTGGAGACATGCTTTGCCAGTCCATCACCTATACCCTCAGCTTCTTTAACAAGGCAGTGGTCGTCTTGGAGGTGTGTTTGGGGTTGTTATGTTGGAATACTGCCCTGTGGCCCAGTGTCTGAAGGGAGGGGATAATGCTCTGCTTAAGTATGTCACAGTACATGTTGGCATTCATGGTTCCCTCAATGAACTGTAGCTCTCCAGTCCCGGCAGCACTCATGCAGTCCCAGACCATGACACTCCCACCACCATGCTTGACTATAGGCAAGATACAATTGTCTTTGTACTCCTCACCTGGTTGCCGCCACACACGCTGGACACCATCTGAACCTAAAAGTTTTTCTTGGTCTCATCAGACCACAGGACATGGTTCCAGTAATCCATATCCTTAGTCTGCTTATCTTCAGCAAACTGATTTCAGGCTTTCATGTGCTTCATCTTTAGAAGAGGCTTCCTTCTGGGACAACAGCCATGCAAACCAATTTGATGCAGTGTGCGGAGTATGGTCTGGGCACTGACAGGCTTACCCCCTACCCCTTCAACCTCTGCAGCAATGCTGGCAGCACTCATACGTCTATTTCCAAAAGACAACCTCTGGATATGACGCTGAGCACGTGCGCTCAACTTCTTTGGTCGACCATGGCTAGGCCTGTCCTGAGTGGAACCTGTCCTGTTAAACCGCTGTATGGCCTTGGCCACCGTGCTGCAGCTCAGTTTCAGGGTCTTGGCAATCTTCTTATAGCCTAGGCCATCTTTATGTAGCGCAACAGTTTTTTTTTCAGATCCTCAGAGTTCTTTGCCATGAGGTGCCATGTTGAACTTCCAGTGACCAGTATGAGAGAGTGAGAGCGATACCACCAAGTTTAACACACCTGCTCCCCATTCACACCTGAGACCTCGTAACACTAACAAATCACATGACACCGTGGAGGGAAAATGGCTAATTGGGTCGAAATTTGGACATTTTCACTTAGGGGTGTACTGACTTTTGTTGCCAGAGGTTTAGATATTAATGGCTGTGTGTTGAGTTATTTTACACTGTTACACAAGCTGTACAGACTACTTTACATTGTAGCAAAGTGTAATTTCTTCACTGTTGTCACATGAAAAGATATAATAAAATATTTACAAAAATGTGAGGGGTGTACACACTGCTGTGAGATAATGTTTATATATATTTATGCACAAGGTAATTACCTTACTTTTGTTATGTTGGGTTACTGTGTTTTTGGATAAATATGTGGAGAGTTAGGGGGAGTTTCAGAGCAGGTAATTTGCAAATCTACCAGCATTGTAAAATGCAAGTTTGTCTGATTAGATTTGGAAAGGTCTTAAGTATTCATAGTGTACTTGTTTATGATGAAGAGAATTTCAACATAGGTGTCCTGACAAGGATGTTAAAGATTGCAGTGTTGCCATAAACAAGACAAGCAGAATCTATTTAACTTTTAAATTAAAATCTATGCAAACAGCTGTTCTAGGTCTAGATACATTGTAACACATAAGATCAAACATGCTCATAAAACCAACCAAATTGCTCGACACTTTGATCAATGGGAAAAGGTGTATATTAGGGAAGGTTTTTTGGTTGAGTTGGTGACAGGAGAAAGTGGGTCCTCTGAAGGTGTCTGATGATTGTATGAATATCCTAAGTACCCTGTCATCTGCCTTGTCTGTACCTCTGTTTTATGGACAGTTTCTGAGCTGATTAAATACATCTCTCTGGAAAAGAACTGTTGGACTAGTTGCTGTAGGAAAATACATTTATAAATACACATCATCCTCCAATTAATTTACATCCAAAATGACGGCACTACCTGCCTGGAATTTGCATGATCTTCCTGTGTCTGCCTGGGTTTCCTCCAGTTACTTCGGTTTCCTCTCACAATCCAAAGAAATGCTGATTAATTGGCCCTAGTATGTGCATGTATGAATGTGAGTTAGGGACCTTAAATTGTAAGGGTTGAGGGTTAGGGACTGATGTGAATGTACAATATATATATGTAAAGCGCTGCCTAAATTATAGGCACTATATAAGTACCTGTAATAAAAAATTAAATGGATAAATCTTTGATAAATGGACAGATGGGCTATTTGTACAATAATAATCTAGAGCAGTTTATTATAGTGACAAGTAGCGTATTCTCTAGGAAAAAAACAAGGAGTCTTGTGCTAACAGCAGGCATATAAAAAATATTTTTTTCTTTGTTGGTTACAACTTATTACTTACAGGGATGATCACATCATCATAGAAGCTCCATGCCAGTGCCCAACGCATGGTTTTTTCCCTGATAAAATTCTGTATGTGCAACTTTGGGTACCTATAATAAAATATGAGACACAATTTATCATGGTGGTGAATACTGCAACAAACATACCGAGCATTTTCTATGTGGATTACCTCTCTGAATTGACAGGCAATACATTCTTATTAGTTCATTAAGGTAAGCTTCAGTACTGAAATCTGAAACTCTAGGAAGTACAGTTTGCTTTAACACCTATAAAAGTGTTACTGACAATCATTATTACATTTGGGCCGATCTAATCTTTGCTTTAATCACATAGCATGTAATTGCTAGTGTTTCCCTGAACACATGTATCAAATTATGTCATTTACTGCACAACTCTACTGTGCCAAATACTGACAAACTCATTATTTGTGCGGTTGTTTATTTTCCTGCAGAATGCGACTTTTTGTGTGAAAAAGTTGCACTTTAGATTTTCTTTCTTACAATTGCTGCAACAGTCACATCTTTAATTTTAAACATTCAAACTGAACTATTTTTTGTGCATCTAAGAAAAGGAAGGTAGCTGGCACACCGACAATAGTTTTTTCTGGCCTATTATGTTGGAAAATGGAAAGGTTCACTGCAAATGGCCATATGTTTTATACATGGGGAAAACAAACACAGTAGCAGAAGATGGATACGCTGACCTGTGAACACAATACAACTGAAATAAGTCTGTTCAAATTCATACATTGCGTAGGACGTGCTAGAAGGGGGCTGATCACAAGTAACATTTAATATGTTAAATTAACCCTCTGCACCTTGCCATATGCCCTGATACAGGTAAACAAAGCGTATTTCCACTTTTGCAGTGAAATTTGGGAAAACTCCACTATATGTTTGTTATGTATTCCCACTCACACAGCATGCCTAAAAAAAATGGGAAAAAAAAAATATGTCTTACCTTTTATGTGAAGTAATTTTTCTTACCATCTATGTGCCTGTTTGACAGAAGCCAATAGTGAGATTCTGTCAGATGAGGAGCTGTATACATGGGCAGAAAGTCGGCTGGTTCCTGACGAACCAACCATTTTGGGCCCATGTGTACCCAGCTTTAGATGTTTCTCAGGAAAAGGTTTCATGGCTGATTGCAAGGCTTTTTGAATAATCTCCATTAACACACAATGCAACAAGCACAGCTTCTACACCTTTTAACCCTTTGTTAAGACAGTGCTCAAATTTAGTTACAACTGATAATGAAAATCTGCCTGCACAATACAGACAGTGTTAATTATGGCAAGCAGCTCCCCAGCCTCCTCATAAACAGATAACTACCTAGGATTGTTCTTCTTGCTGGAGTATCTAAAAATAGAGCATCTAAAAAGGTAATCTGCATTTTCTTTTAAATTGTGCTATGTGAAAGGGGACAGGTAATAAATATAAAGTCAACAGTGTTTTTAGAAAAGCGCCACACCCTAAATCTCTAAAACAGCAAATTCCACTTCAAAAAATCACAAATTAATCTTTTGCTCAAACAAATAAATAAAAGGAATGCGCTAAATAATTACAAAATAGATGTGAAAAATATATGAAAAAATTATTATAAAAAAATATTCATAAATCATTGAATATTCAAAAAAAGTCTTCAAATAATGTCCACACTGTGTTGAAGCCACCACCAAAAAAAAGAATCACTCACCAGAGCTAAATGCTGAACAATTGAACTAGCAACAAGCACTTTTTGCTCTGGGGCAATATATAGCAGTCCAATTCCTGAATGCAATGCTATGCAAATAAACGAACTCTCCTCAGATAAATAGCCACCATTCAAGGATATAGGAAATTTCCAGGGATCAAGCTCATCTTTCTTTCATACACCTCCATACCATTGGGACCATGTTTGAAAGGTAAGAGAAAAAAAAATCATGGTGCAGCAAGTTTCACACATGTGACAAATTTTTAATAAACAAATAAAACTCATAAGTGAGGTGTCTGCGCCGACACCAGTGTTACAAGCATGGATTTAGGCAGCGGCACACGAACGTAACTTCGTTCACCACGAATCACCTCCTTTCAGATTCAGAGACTGTCTCAGATGTCGGCATCCAGTACGCCACGCCCTACGCGTTTCGTCGCCGACGTCCTCACGGGGCGGTCTGGATGCAAACGTCAACTCAATGTAATTTTATACCGCCCGCACTTTGCATTGCGGCGCGGCTATGTCAGTCAAATAACATGAAAGGACGCAGGTGTAGCGAATATAGAACAAATTGGAAACAAAGTGTCCAGCCATAGCTGCACATTCTGCCTCTCATAACAATCTTTGGAAACAACAAAAATACATTTAAAATACATTGTAACCAGTTACCATCTTTCTAATAATATTGCAAATATTCCAACGATCCATTTAAAGGCAACAATTAAGCATCATATAAACAACATCACCTCTTTATAATTGTCATATATTCAAATTAAAGAGCTATACTCCACATTAAAGAATTACTCTAAGCATAATAAAGAAATTTTTGATATGCAAAAAATATTTATAAAAAATATAAAAATTATTATATACCTCCAATGCATGTAAATACATAGAAAGTTATTTAAATCTTCAGATGAACCTGAATCTGAAGGTTCATCTGAAAGATTTAAATAACTTTCATTGCAGTATTAATGAGAATCATTATGGGTTGAATGTTACAATTATTAGTGATCTGAATAGTGTTAATTTTTTAGATGACATTTGATATAAACATAAAGGCCATATTTTTACAAATACTTTCTTCAAAGATATCGATAAAAATAGTTATATCCCCATTTCAAGTGGACATCATCCAAGATGGTTACATAGTACTCCTAGAAGTCAATTTACAAGGATAAAAAGAAATTGTAGCTCACAAAAATATTTCAATGAGCAAACTGAAGTATTAACAGATTTGTAGAAAAGGGGTATAAAAGACCTTCTTTGGTCTCTGAAAGGGACATTATTGGCAACAGGGATAGAAGTAGTTTTCTGACTGACAAAAAAATAAAGAAGGAAGAAGGTTTTTATGTTTCATTCATTACCAAGTTTAATAACCAATATAAGGATATAGAAAATATTGTTAAAAAAATATTGGCCAATATTACTTAAAGATGAGACACTGAAGAAAATCATTCCACACAAACCAAAATTCATTTATAGAAAGAACTCATTAAGAACAAAAATAGTCCATAATGTTTTAGATCCCCCAAAAAAAGAAAAAAATTTTTTTCCAGAACTTCGGGGTTTTTTTCACTGTAGAAAATGCAAAGCATGTAATACGGTGAATGGACCCTTAAACAGAAAAAATAGAAAAGAATTTTCTTCATATGTAACTGATAAAGAGTATAAAATCAATTCGTTTATCTCGTGTAATTCGACTCATGTGGTCTACATTTTGGAGTGCCCATGTCGCCTCCAATATGTAGGACGAACAGGGAGACAGTTAAAAACAAGAATTGCTGAACATCTAAATATAAAAAAAGGTTATGAAAAACAGTGTGTCCAGACATTTTAAATTGAAGCATAATAGTGATCCAAGATTAGCAACCTTTTATGGTATTGAAAAAATAAATGCACATTGGAGAGGTTCAGATATGATCAAAGAAATATCCAAGTAGGAAACTTATTGGATATATAAATTAAATTGTTTAAATCCAAAAGGTTTAAATATAGATATTGATTTAAACTGCTTAACGAATTTTTAAAGAATAGTTGAGAAGGGTGATTAATGGTGAAGTGATTCTGTGTTCAATTATAAACATCTATCTGATAAATAAATAAAAAAATATAAATAAAAATATATATCCTAAGAGATTCACAGAATTGTAGGGTAATTATGGGTATGTCCTTGAAAATACTAGTGTTTTCTAAGTATTTACATGCATTTGAGGTATACAATAATTTTTTTATTTTTTATAAATATTTTTTGCATATCAAAAAATTTCTTTATTATGCTTAGAGTAATTCTTTAATGTGGAGTATAGCTCTTTAATTTGAATATATGACAATTATAAAGAGGTGATGTTGTTTATATGATGCTTAATTGTTGCCTTTAAATGGATCGTTGGAATATTTGCAATATTATTAGAAAGATGGTAACTGGTTACAATGTAGTTTAAATGTATTTTTGTTGTTTCCAAAGATTGTTATGAGAGGCAGAATGTGCAGCTATGGCTGGACACTTTGTTTCCAATTTGGTCAATATTCGCTACACCTGCGTCCTTTCATGTTATTTGACTGACATAGCCGCGCCGCAATGCAAAGTGCGGGTGGTATAAAATTACATTGAGTTGACGTTTGCATCCAGACCGCCCCGTGAGGACGTCGGCGACGAAACGCGTAGGGCGTGGCGTACTGGATGCCGACATCAGAGACAGTCTCTGAATCTGAAAGGAGGTGATTCGTGGTGAACGAAGTTACGTTCGTGTGCCACTGCCTAAATCCATGCTTGTAACACTGGTGTCGGTGCAGACACCTCACTTGTGAGTTTTATTTGTTTATTAAAAATTTGTTACATGTGTGAAACTTGCTGCACCGTGATTTTTTTCTCTTACCCTTCAAACATGGTCCCAATGGTATGGAGGTGTATGAAAGAAAGATGAGCTTGATCCCTGGAAATTTCCTATATCCTTGAATGGTGGCTATTTATCTGAGGAGAGTTTGTTTATTTGCACAGCATTGCATTCAGGAATTGGACTGCTATATATTGCCCCAGAGCAAAAAGTGCTTGTTGCTAGTTCAATTGTTCAGCATTTAGCTCTGGTGAGTGATTCTTTTTTTTGGTGGTGGCTTCAACATAGTGTGGACATTATTTGAAGACTTTTTTTGAATATTTAATGATTTATGAATATTTTTTATAATAATTTTTTCATATATTTTTCACATCTATTTTGTAATTATTTAGCGCATTCCTTTTATTTATTAATAAATATAAAGTGTGTGTTATCCCAATTTGGTTGCAAAAGTGGAAATCCACTTTAACTAGTGGTGCACTGAAATGAAAATTCTGGTGCCAAAACCGAAAATTCAGGATGCACTTGACCGAAAACCAAAATGGGCAGTTTTTAAAAATTAATATATATTTTTTTGAAAAAATACACTTTAATGATTAACCCCCCCCCCACACAATATATACCCCCATTTTTTGTAAAATATAAAAGAGGATGTTACAGCAAGTAAATAGATACCCAACATGTCATGCTTTAAAAGTGCGCACACTCGTGGAATGGCGTCAAACTATGGTACTTAAAAATCTCCATGGGTGACGCTTTAAAAATTTCTACAGGTTAGCAGTGTAAAGTTACAGAGGAGCTCTAGTGCTAGAATTATTGCTCTTGCTCTGACATTCGTGGCAATACCTCACATGTGTGGGTTGAACACCGTTTACATATGTGGGAATGCCCTACGCATGTGTTCACCATTACTAGCGAGCATGGGGGATGGGGGCGCTTGAAATTTTTTTTTCTAAATGCATTTCATTTTTTTTTTTACACTGTCCCTTTAAAATTTAGTTTTTATAATTAGTGACAGGTTCTCTTTATGGAGAGATATGGGGTCAATAAGACCCCACATCTTTCCTACATAGTAAAGCATTAGCTCAAAAAAAAAAAAAAAAAAGCATTGATCTAGAGCTTTAAAAAAAAAAAAAAAAAGAAGGGCATAGAGATGAGTGGAGTCCATCTTCCCTTGACTAATCCCTGTGCCCAGCGCCAAGATTGTTCAGTGGTTTCTCAGGTAAGACTGAGAACTACCGCGCGGCTGCCGGTGATGGCAGTGGCGGGAGGCGGCGGAGTTATTTTCGGCAGCTGTATCTGTGCTTTTTTTCATATCAGCCAACGGCTGATAGGGATGTGTTTGGCAGAAACATTTCGGACACCCAAGTTTCAGTGCACCACTAACTTTAACATAAAAAACATAGATTCTTGGTTTGCATACCTAGTTCTGTAGCTCTCCTCTAAATTTGTAAGCTTGGCCTCATATCTACATTTTAATATAAAAAGTACTCAATGAGAGAATTACAGGGTCTATTAGAACAGAATGAAGCAAAGCTTTTATCAGTGACAGTTGTCATTTATTCAGGTCTTGGTACAGCTAGTTGTAGCTCATCACATTCAACTGGACCTGTTCTGTAATGTTGAAAACATTTCATAGCTTACCAAATGGAAAGTTGTGGTAGCATCCAGTTCTAGTTCTATAACCCCCATTGTTGGTGTTGGAACACCTAAATAGGTGTTAGTTCCTCAATTTACATGTCTATAGGTGTGAATTGTCAAATCATCTGGGTAGAGATGGTAAAACTGCATTATATGTGGAGGAAAGATGGTGACAAAGGCCCCCACCCCTGCTTAGGGATGGTTGTTCCATTTTGGCATAGATGGCCTCTTGCAAACCAGTTGTCCTCTGTCCAAAATACAGTTGCAAGAAAAAGTATGTGAACCCCTTGGGATTATGTGGAGTTTTGCATGAATTGGGCATAAAATGTGCTCTGAACGTCATCTAAGTCACAACAATAGAAGAACACAGTCTGCTGAACATAATACTACACAAACATTAGATGTTGCCATGGTTTAATTGCACATAACATGTAAACATTCACAGTGCAGGGAGGAAAAAGTATGTGAACCTTTGGACTTAATAACTGGTTGACCCTCCTTTGGCAGCAATATTCTCAACCAAACGTTTCCTGTAGTTGCAGATCAGACCTGCACAACGATCTGGAGTAATTTTGGACTACTCCTCTTCACAAAACTGTTTCAGTGTAGCAATATTCTTGGGATGTCTGGTGTGAATCGCTCTCTTAAGGTCATGAAACAGCATTTCAATTGGGTTGAGGTCAGGACTCTGGCTGGCTGGCCACTCCAAAAGGCGTATTCTGTGCTGTTGCAGCCATTGTTTTTTGTTGAATTACTTGTTGTTTGTCCTGTTGCATGGAGCTTCGTTGGCGGACAGTGGTCGTACGTTTTCCTGCAAAATGTCTTGATAAACTCTGGAATTCATTTTCCCATCAATGACAACAATCCGTCCAGGCCCTGAGGCAGCAAAGCAGCCCCAAACCATGATGCTCCCTCCGCCATGTTTTACAGTTGGGATGAGGTTTTGATGTTGGTGTGCTGTGCCTTTTTTTCTCCACACATAGTGTTGTGTGTTCTTCCCAAACAACTCAATCTTGGTTTCATCTGTCCACAGTATATTTTGCCAGTAGTGCTGTGGAACATCCAGGTGCTCTTTTGCAAACTTCAAACATGCTGCAATATTCTTTTTGGACAGCAATGGCTTCCTCCGTGGTGTCCTCCCATGTACTCCATTCTTGATTAATGCTTTCCTTATTGTAGATGTGTCAACAAAAATGTTTGCATGTGCCAGAGATTTCTGTAGGTCTTTAGCTGACACTCTGGGATTCTTCTTTACCTCATGCAGCATTCTGCGCTGTGCTCTTGCAGTCATTTTTACAGGATGACCACACCTAGGGAGAGTAGCAACAGTGCTAAACTTTCTCCATTTGTAGACAGTCAGTCTTACCGTGGACACATGAACATCAAGGTTTTTGGAGATACTTTTGTAACCCTTTCCAGCTTCATGCAAGTCAACAATTCTTGATCGTAGGTCTTCTGAGAGCTCTTTTCTGCAAGGCATGGTTCACATCAGACAGTGCTTCTTGAAACCAGTAAACCCAAAACAGGTGTGTGTTTTTTAAGGGCAGGACAGCTGTCCGCAACACATCCAATATCATCACACTGATTGGAGTCAAGGTTGGCTCACTCCTGGCTCCAATTAGCTCTGGGAGAAGTCATTAAGCTAGGGCCTCACATACTTTTTCTCCCTGCACTGTGAATGTTTACATGTTATGTGCAATTAAACCATGGCAACATCTAATGTTTGTGTAGTATTATGTTCAGCAGGCTGTGTTCTTCTATTGTTGTGACTTAGATGACGTTCAGAGCACATTTTATGCCCAATTCATGCAAAACTCCACATAATCCCAAGGGGTTTACATACTTTTTCTTGCAACTGTATTTTGGACAGAGGACAACTGGTTTGCAAGAGGCATGAAAGAGGCCATCTATGCCAAAATGAAAAAAACCATCCCTAAGCAGGGGTGGGGGCCTTTGTCACCATCTTTCCCAAGGGGTTCACATACTTTTTCTTGCAACTGTATGCACTTCGCTGTCTTCGAAAGAATATGCCTTTTCTTAGGGTGTAGGGAAACTTTTGATTCGACCTGTAGAACTTGCTCTCCTATGTTGGGTCATTGATTTGTTGAAAGGTTATTTTGTCTCCCCAATGTACAGGTCTTTGTATTCATCACTACACAGCACTGCATATACCAAGTTACTTTGCTTGTGTTTGGATGTTGGGTCTTTAGGATTCACAAGCTTCTGTCTGTGTATTGCTGGGTTTGACGGACACAGGAATGTAATACTAATGTTTTTCTGACATTCTTTTATGTAACTGTAGTGGCAGCATAACTAAGGAGGACAAAAACAACCTCTCCACAAGGGAATGGCCCAACATAGGAGGGCAAATTCTACAGGCTAAAAGCCAGGTACACACATACTGAAAGTCAGCAGATTCAGCAGGAACCAGCCAACTTTCAATGTGTGTACTCTCTGTTGAACAGTAGCTAGTCTAACAATGGGTGCAGCAGTGACCTGTGTATTCTGATGGGGGGAGCTCTCACTTTAGAATACTATAGCACAGAATGGGAGATCCCAGCATCCACATTGCTTATGTGGATGCAGGGATCTGTAAATTTTTTCTCTATTCAACTCACTGGTTGAAAAGAAAAAACTGTGCATATATACCCAACTCATGACTCAGATTTCTACACCTTAAGGAAAAGGCACATTCTTTCAAGGAAGGTGAAGTGCACATTCTGGACAAAGAGGACAACTGGTTTGCAAGAGGTGTGAAAGAGGCCACCTACTTCAAAATGGAACAGCCATCCTTGACCAGGGGTGGGGGCTTTCTTCACCATCTTTCTTTAAAAAATAACACCATTTTAACATCTCTTCCTGGCAACTTGACATTTCACAGAAATGAGAAACCAACGCTTATGCAGACTTTCCGACACTGACAATGTTCTGACATAGACATAGGGATTATGCAACTAGGACAGGATGGCACCACAACATACTCTTGGACAATAAACATTAACATATTCCATGATGACTGGATTAAGATAGGAATAGAAATGATGGGATATCTTCTTGCCACTCTAGAAAATGAATTAGGCTTGCCATAGACGGAGCAAGCCATGGTTGCAGGAAAGAAATTTGATTCCCCTATCAACAAAGACAGCGTGGGCAGGGAAATCCCTCCCATGGAACTATTTTGTTCTCCTGGTGGGGGCCATCCCCGCCGGGACAAAACAGTGATTATTGTTAGCGGCTGTAACAGCAGAGAGCAATAACTGCATGTAAAATCCGGCAGGCTAGTTGTACCCCAGTTGATCGACCATTCGATATTTGAACAGTCTATTGCCAGCTTAAGTGGTCTGACCGCTATCAAAGATCTTCATTAATACAGAACAAAGTCTTTGTTAATTACATTTGCACTGGATATTTGTTTGTAAGCCAAATCATTTATATTTGGCAGTAGTATCTGTAGTGCATCAGAATAAAAGAGTTACTTTATGCACAATGTGCAAGTATATGGCATAGTAGAGTGGCCACTGGCCATTACTTTGATTCAGCTAACTTGAACATGTAATTCAATATACTTAAACCAAGAATTCTAGTATTTAAAGCATTGTTTATGGTAACACACAGGTACATTATTACTTTTAGATATTATTTTAACATATTTATAAATGGAACATTAGGAATCTGATATACAGAAAATTCCTATCCAAATTGCTAGCAGACTTCAAACCCTCCAACAACACAAGAACAACAAGAATAGCAAAAAAACATACCCCTGTATTCGCAGTTCTTCCTTCAATGGCGCCAAACTGCACTTCTTACCCAGCATGCAGCTGTACCATCTAAAAAGAAATAACCAACAGGGTATATAATTGGCAAGCTTTATTTCACTGCAGGAAAATACATCAGCCAAGGGCAGCCCAGCATTCCCCTCTATTACGAATAAATTATCAGTTAGTGATTCAGACATCTTGACATTTCTCACCACAACAGAGCAAACAGGGGGAACACAATTTATGATTTGCATTAATCAATTCTAAAAAAAACTCCAGTGTGGCTCAATTGTTCCCTGAAAACTGAACAAAGGGTGATTACAAGTTTTGTCAGAAAGACCTCAGGTAATACAGATGTAGCTTTAGTGAACTAAAAACCCCTAGGTAAGAGAATAGCTGTAATTGTGATTCACAGACACTTTTGTGCTGTCTGCTTGAGTTTGCACGGAACAGCCTAAATCAGAGATGTGCTTGGTGTGGTAATAAAAACAATACTAAAAGTATATATAAACCTTAAAGAAACTTATGTGATTTGCTCCTTTTAATCCATTAAATATATCATTAAAAGTGTTTTTCTGTACCTGTTCAGTAAGTGAAGAAAATTCTGTCAGTCAGGCCAGATAATGTCATGAGCTGATAACTTTCTGTGCTCTATGCCTGTGCTCCACCCTATCAGTTACACTGTTCCTGTGCCATCACTAAAAGTGGGTACACACTAAGAAAATCGGAAAGAAGATTCCACACGAGGAATGATAGTTTGATTTTCGTATAGCGCGTAGACGTTTATCGACATCCGATTTAGACTTTCCAAATGAAAATTTCTGACAGGACAAACCCCCAAATTGTTCTTGCACGTCAACAGAACTAACGATTTACCTTTGATGTGTACTGTTTTCGTACAAGAAAAATTGGATATGAAAGACCGCACATGATCAAAAACAAACAACAAAAAAAAGCCTTCACCATAGAATTAGTACCATCCTCGGTTTCGACTTGCTGTGAAGCATCGAGGAAAACTGACAGATCGTTCGCCCAATTTTTCTTAAAGTGTATACCCAGTTTAAGACTCACCCTGTGCTATCTCTAAGGACTGCAGAACCCCTCTCTCTGTTATGCAAAAGACAAGGGGAGGTATTTGTAGTCAAATCTTTATAATGCTTTTACTTTTGTGTGACAGTTTAAACCTGATTCTTTGACAAGGGCAATGTTTCGGGCATTTTTAGCCTGTAAAAGCTAAAGTTTTGGTTAGGAATTCTGCCACTCATGTAAAGGTATAGCTCTGTGCAGTGCAATACTAAAATGGTGTTTTAGAATAATGGTATCTTCTTTCCAGAAGCTATAGATCCTACACATCAGGTATAGAAACATACAGTGTATCCCCAGAGTGGCATGATAGTGTGAGGATTTGCTATGTTAACCACTTGCATTTGAAAAACCACTGTGCAAATACCACGTGAAATAAAAATGTGCAAAACCCACCTTTTTTTTCTCTAGGGCCTCCGCTTTAAAAAAAAATATATATACAATGTTTGGATGTTCTAAATAATTTCCTAGCAAAAAATACTGATTTTGACATGTAAATAAAAAGTGTCAGAAAAGGCTTGGTCTTAAAGTGGTTAAAATGAGTATGTATATCCATTAGTACCAGGCACTATATAACTGGAAAAGAGTTCCCTCTTTTTGGATGTGAGTACAGACCATCTCTTGCCTCTATAAAGTGGAACTTCACTTTCTCATTCAACAGTAACTGTTTCTATCCTTATGCTGCTAGCATTAGAAAATAGATAAGAAAGTGTATTATATTTACTTGCCTAGGCAAATGGTGTCATATATCCCAGGAGTCTTCAGGAGGGGAAGGGGTTTTCTCAGCTAAGCACACCCACCTATCTGTATGACTGAGCTAAGGGCAGATAGATTCCAGGAAATAAATGCCAAATGAATCATCTGCCCTTACTCAAAATGGCCACAGCCGGAAATGCTAGGGAATGGGGGGTTTCTAAGTGATTTCTTGCCAAAATAAAGCATGGAGACATGGATGGATGTGTGGGTTTGCTCAGAATATTAAAAATGAATTAAATAGCAGTTTTGGTTTGTGGCGCTCAGATACAGTGTAGTTCTGCTGTAAGCTATGCCAATTCAGTTGAGGGGTTGAAGGTGTGAAGTCCCTTTTCAATGTTATGCCTTACAGAGCCTATGCATTTATGTAGATACAGTTGAGCAAAATCAGGGTTTTGGAATTTTCTCTTTGCCAAGTAAATCTATAAAGGGTTATTATGCAGTTCAGTTGTCAAAGAATCCCAAAGCTGAAATTTGTTCCGTGCATGGTCTTGTTGGAAACACCCCAGATCATGAAACGCAAATTTTTCAATCGATTTTTGTTGAAAGAGCCAGGCAAAAGATTCTCTGCTGAACAGTTCCAACATCCAATCATCTGCCACTGGTTGTCACAAAACAATAGTTTGCAGTGGGATATTTGTCCTTCTGTGCAGTTTAACATGGATGGATGAATCTGTTAGATTTGTTTCATTCAGCCCACAGGGTGAACAAAATCTTTAAGTGTATGCTTATCGAGGTATTGAACCCAAAAGCAAAAATATTTGCGGTTTACCAATTCTTGGCTGCATTAGTCTTTTTTTGCCTTTTTTATCAGGAGATCTGGCCAATAAGTCTGTTATTTTTCAACTTCCAAGTTGTGAAGCAAAAGTGGCAGTTAGAGGGTGGAGACAAATTATTTGATGCCACTAGGGATGCTAACACTAGTCAGCATTTATTCATTTATGTAAAACCTTTATGTTGTTAGCTGGAGTTCAGCTTTAACTTGTTAGTCAAGTCTGTCTAAATCTGCTACTGCATCCAACACTACCCAGTCTATAGCTTCTCCATCCAGAGTTGAGACAGGAAGTGTGTTACTGACCACATCACCAGGTGAAAAACAGGGAAAAAAAGCCTAAAAAAAGAGAACTAATGCAGTAACCACATCAAAGGAAAGGTCAACTGCAATATAGTAAAGTTTTATTTTTGGGTTTAATAACGCTTTAAGCCCATATGTCACCGATAGCCTAGAAAGCATTCAGATCTGAATAAGATTCTAATATGGAATAGTAGTGAAAACACAGCCATAGTTAACAGCCAATTTGTTGAATAGAAACCCAAATGAAACTGCAAAATAATTTATTGGAAAGTTTGCAGGTTCTCCCTGTGCCTGCGTGGGTTTCCTCCGGGTACTCTGGTTTCCTTTAACACTCCAAAGACATGCTGGTAGGTTAACTGGATCCTGTCTAAACTGGCCCTAGTATGTGTATGTATGAATGTGAGTTAGGGACTTTAGATAGTACACCCCTAGAGGATTAGGGACTGATATGAATGTACAATATATATGTAAAGCACTGCGTAAATTGACAGTGCTATATAAGTACCTGAAATAAATGCTAATAAATAACCTCAAGCTGTTAAAGTATTACTAAACCCAGGACCCTACATTCACTATATCTGGTGTCCCACAGTACACAGAAATGCAATTTTTTTTAGTAAATCTAAACTGCTAAATACCTTTTCTCATCAGCAGTTAGAGCAGTCTTGCGACTTCCATCTGTCCAGCAGAGCACTGGTTAAAGCTTGTAGGAGGAGTGTTCATTCTCCCCCGATTGTCCTATGAGGCTGCATAATCCCTGACCCTCTATCTGGACAACGCTGACTGGCTCTGTACTGATCACATGTACTCGCCCAAGAAAAAAAAAAAAAAATCTAGCAATACACACCAAACTGAGCATGTGCAGCTTGCCCCCAACGCTCTGTTCTAGCAGCAGATGAAGTAGTGACAGTAGAAGATCAGAGAAGACAGGATCAAACATCCTTTTTTTTATACAATGTGGAGGATAAACCCTTAGGTTCTACAGTGAGTATAACAAGCATGCTTTACTGCATATACAGACTGATTTTACTGTTGTGGGTTTAGTAACACTTTAAGGATAATGTTCAATTAGTAAAGCTCTGCTGGGACTCTACCTTTAGCCCTCAAAATAACTACCAATTCATTGTTGGTGTCCCAGCAAATGGCATTCACATACTTGGAGCCACCTCTGGTTTATAGGACAATACAGAAGATTTTTTTATCTATTGAGACTTTACAAATGGCAGTACCTTTCAAAATTGAGGAACACTGCTCTTGTAACTTTGCTAAAAAAAAAACCCACTAACAAAAGCTTTATTTTTTATTCATGTATCAGTTACTGATAATGTGCCTCACTTTATAGAAACTTGAGAGAAAGAAATGCTGTGTTAGGGCACATGCTCCTTCATTACCGCTCTCTTTTTCTAAAAACAGGGATGAAAAGGCGGTTACAAACAGAAACAGAACAGTGCTACAGAAAAAACATTTTTAAAGCCAAAGATACATTCTCTGAACCCATTAAACTGAATGAGCAGGAAGCATTACAGCACTTTATCTCTGTTCCCTGCTCAGCCAGAGAACAGATCATCTGTCTTTGCAATTGTCAGCTATACACATCTTCAATTCAGTAGTATCAGCCTCTGTTCACACAGTGGGTGTGCTGTCCAACATGGTGTGCGGTATTGTTTTCTGAAGTCATGCTTGGATCTGCAGCATAGCTTGAAATTATTAGGCGATGAGGAAGTTAATATTAAGGAGATAATGTACTTGCACAGACATCTGAAGTGGCAATTATTGCTGGCAGAGCAACGTGTTGAAAAAATTCTGCAGTTCAGGTTTGTTCCCTTTTCATCATGCAATAAAGAGAAAGAGCAGATCCTTTCACCATACAAGCAGTGAGAAGGAACACCATACAAGCGCTTACAAAAGACCAGCCCTAAATAGGCAGATATTTTGTCGGCTGGCAGAGTGACCTATGTATGTTTATTTGTAGAGTAATGGCTACTTCCAATGCTTGTGGATCACAAATATCGGGCTTTGTAGGGCCAATCATAAATATATTATATATATTTATATATTATATATATATATTATATATTATAATAGTGTATATATATATATATATATATACACACTATTGTATAAAAGATTTAGGCAGGTGTGAACAAATAATGTAAAT